GGTGCAGGGCCCAAGCACCTGGGCCATCCTCCACTGCACTCCCTGGCCATAGCAGAGAGCTGGCCTGGAAGAGGGGCAACCGGGACAGAATCCGGCGCCCCGACCGGGACTAGAACCCGGTGTGCCGGCGCCGCAAGGTGGAGGATTAGCCTATTGAGCCACAGCGCCGGCCCCAGGCAACATCTTAATCACTGTGCCAAACCCGTTCCTTTACTTAATATTTAAAAATCCCTCTCACAGGTATTTATTTTTCTCTGCAATTTATTTGTTAAATTGAGGGGCAGTGTTGTGGTGTAGTGGATTACAACGCTGGAATCCCATATGAATGCTGGTCTGAGTTGTGGCTGCCTCACCTTTTTTTTTTTTTTTTTTAAGATTTATTTATTTTGAAATAAATAAGTTACAGAGAGGGAGAGGCAGAGAGAGAGAGAGAGAGAGAGAGAAAGAGAGAGAGAGAGGAAGTCTTCCATCCACAGGTTCACTCCCATTTAGGGACTGGGACAGAACGAAGCTTGGAACCAGGAGCTTCATCTGAGTCTTCCATATGGGTACAGGGGCTCAAGCACTTGGACCATCTTCCGCTGCTTTCCCAGGTGCATTATCAAGGAGCTGCATTGGAAGTGGAGCAGCCAGGACTCGAACTGGCATCCATTTGGGATGCTGGTGCTGCAGGTGGTGTCACTATGCCACAGTGACAGCTTCTGCTGCTCCACTTTTGATGCAGCTCCCTGCTAATGTGCCTGGGAAAGCAGCAGGTGAACCAAGTGTTTGGACACCTGCCACCAACATGGCAGACCTGGATGCAGTTCCAGGCTCCTGGCTTCAGCCTGGCCCAGCCCTGGCTGTTGGTAGCCATGTGGGGGAGTGAACAAGTGGATGGAAGATTCTCTCTCTCTCATTCTGCCTTTCAAATAAATAAATCTTTAAAAAGGAAAGAATGTGAGTCACTTGTCCTCTCTTCAATGGAAAACAAATATAGTGAATTTCCAGATTACTAGGATCAATTTATGATGACATGTTGTACTTTAAAAAATATATAGGTGAGGGGCTGGCATTATGGTGCAGTGGGTTAATCCGCTACCTGTAACACTGGCATCCCATTTGAGCACCGGTTCAAGTCCCTGATGCTCCCTGCTAATGTGCCTGGGGAAGCAAGGAAAGGTGGCCTGAGTAGTCGGGACCCTGTACACACATGGGAGACCCGGTGGAGTTCCTAGCAGCCCAGGCCATTGTAGCCATTTGGAGACTGAACCAGCAGGTGGAAGGTTTCTCTCTCTCTCTTTCTCTCTCATAACTCTGCCTTTCAAATAAAAAAAAAAAATCTTTTAAAAATATGTGTGAGCTGACATTTGACCTAGCAGTTACAGTCATGGTTGGGATGTCCATATCCCATATTGTAGTATCTGAGTCTGAGTCCCAGCTCTGGCTCCTGATTCCAGCTTCCTGCTAATACAGACCCTAAGGGGCGGTGGTGATGAATCAAGTAAATGTTTCTGCCACCCACGTGGGAGACCTGGATTGTATTTCTGGCTCCCAGCTTTGGCCTGGTCCAACCAGCCTCGTCCATTGCAGAAATCTGGGGAGTGAAGCATAGCATGGCAGCTCTCTTTTTCTGTTTCTCCCTCTCTGCCTCTCTAATTAAAAAAAAAAATTACATATCACAGAGAGATTTCTCCCATGTCTCTAAAAGTCACTTTCTGGGGCCAGTGTTGTGGCACAGCAGGTTAAGTAAGCCACCACCTGTAATGCCAGCATCCCATACTGGAGTGCTGGTTCAAGTCCTGGTTGCTTCGCTTGCAATCCAGCTCCCTGCTATGCCCCTGGGAAAGCAATGGAAGATGGCCCAAGTCCTTGAGCCCCTGCACCCACATGGGAGACCCAGATGGAGTTCCTGGCTCCTGGATTCAGCCCGGTCCAGCCTGGGCTGGGGAGTGAGGGAGTATGCCATCAGATAGAGCTCTTTGTCTCTCCCTCCCTCTGTCATTCTGCCTTTCAAATCAATCAATCATTCACTTTTTTAAAAAAGTCACTTTATTTTTTTAAAAGATTTATTTATTTGAAAGTCAGAGTTACACAGAGAGAGAAGGAGAGGTAGAGACAGAGAGAGAGAGTGGTCTTCCATCCACTGGTTCACTCCCCAGATGGCCGCAACGGCCGGAGCTGTGCCGATCCAAAGCCAAGAGCCAGGAGCTTCTTCCAGGTCTCCCACGCTGGTGCAGGGGCCCTAGGAGTTGTGCCACCTTCTGTTGCTTTCCCAGGCCATAGCAGAGAGCTGGATCAGAAGTGGAGCAGCCAGGGCTCGAACCGGCACCCATATGGGATGCTGGCACTGCAGGCAGTGGCTTTACCCCCTCTGCCACAGTGCCGGCCCCAAAAGCAGTCACTTTCTGAGTGTGAGACGCCCCCCCCCCCAGCCTTCGTACTACGCTCCCGCAAAGCCTCAGTAGTTCTAATCCTCCTCCTCTTTAACCCCCCCCCCCAAAACCTGGAGCCACTCCCACACTGCATGCTTTCCTTGTTTATTGCCTGTTTCCCCTCTAGAGAGAGGAGGCTCCAGGAGACCCCGGGTACTGAAAGTGAGATAAGGCAGGGCTGAAGCAAGGAGTGGATGGCAGGAAATAGGGCGGGAGTCTCGGCGTGAGGAGGAAGGCGCCGCCACGCACTTCCGCTTGCTGATTTGGCTCCTCCTCTAGAAGCAGAGGCTGCTGGGAGGTTCGGGGGGGGGGAGCCCACGTGACGACAGCGGCCTTCTGGGACGTCGGCGACCCTGACCCAGCGCCTTGGCCCTTTCACCCGGCACAGGCTCGGGCCCGCCTCTCACAGCGATCGGTGCTGTCAGCAGAGTCCGCGTTGCTTGAGCTGCGAGGCCGTCCTCGCCGACCATCACCGCCGCTGCGCTGGGATGCCCCCGTGTGCAGCCTTTCGCGTGTGTCTGTGTGGGGGCGGGTGTGGAATGGGGTCAGGCTGTGAAACCGGAAACCGGAAGTAGCAGGAAGGGTCTGGGTGGGTCACTGCTGTGCTGTCAGCCAGTGGAGTGCCCTCGGAGGAGTTCCAGGGCTCCCTGTCTGTCAAATAGGACAGTGCCCTTTTGCCTCTGCATGGTTGCCTCGCGCCTTGGATGCTGTCGGGTGACAACGCACAGTAGCACTGCCCCTCCCCGGGCAGCCTGCAGGAGAGGGCAGCGTTCTGGCTGCTCCTGGAGAGGCTGGGGGTAGCAGTGGCTGAGGATGGTGGCCCTGCCGCTCCCGCTGGACCAGGGAAGGCCCAGGCTAACCGGGGGGAGGGATCACGACTGGATCTTGGGGCTGCCTGCCTTCCTCTGGAGGCTGATGGGAAGAGATGCATCTGGACGGTTTTTTGCTGCAGTAGGGTTGATGCGTCCCCTCCCCTCGCTTCCCAAGGGCCCTGGCAGCCTCAGCAGAGTGACCTGGTGCAGAAGGAGCGACAGAAAGCGCCACAGCGTGCCAGCTGTATTCCAAGACTGTCTACGAGCCGTCCTAGCTTTGATTAGGGGTTTCTTGCCACATGCGCTGACTCGTGCCCCAGCCGGACTCATTCCTGGAAGTGCAGTCCGGGTGTGTGCGCTTTTTCCCAGGAAGCCATGAGGCATTTTCACACACCACACAAACATTCCCGCAGCCCCACCCTGCTGCTCCGTGGCTCCCACGAGGAGCCTCCGGGTGTGTGTTTCTCTGAGATGGGGACTGTGACTTTTACTTCTGCCCAGACCAGTAGGTGTAACTTATTCGCCGTCCTCTGTGAAATCCAGAAAGGATCCCTGATTTTTTTTTAACCTTTTTGCTTTATGCATTTATGTCATCCAGTATGGTAGCCACTAGCCGTGGATAGCTATTTGAATTCCAGTTAGTAAAATTAAATAAACTGTCACACTAGCCACATTTCAAGGGCTCCCGCGGGGCCAGTAGCTGTTGTGTGGTTGCAGGCGGGCCCATTCAGCAGCTCCCTAAACATTCCCACCCAGAGGCTTATGAGTGTGGGCAGGAAAGCATCCGCGCACTTAGGGGAACGGTGAGTGGCTAAGCCATCATGGGTTTTTTTCAGGGTAAAACGCTCAGGGTTCCCGGTGTTGACCCTTCCCTAGTGGTCTGACCTCTGAGCGCTCTCAGCCATTCGGTCACCGTCTTTTATCACCTCGCCCAGGCCACTGAGAAGCCACCGCTCGCTTAGCCACGGAGAGCTCTGTCCTGCTCTCACGCATGCACTGCTCCGCATGGGAGAGTTCCTGATCAGAAACTTCCAGAGCAGTTTGTAGCTTCAGAGCTAGGAGGAGGGAGTCTTTAGCGCTTCTAGTTTGCTGTTTGTGGTTCTTCTAAAAAAGGAGAAAAAGAAACCCTTTCTGATGAAACAGGCGCTTTTCTAGAATGTCCACTGTGAGCTTTCCTGCTGCGCTTGGTGGGGGCTTGGTGGCAGAGCTAAGACTGGGTGAGGCAGGGAGAGGAGCCCAGGGCACAGATTTAAGGAGGCCCTCACTCTCAGGGGCTGGCCTTCTACTTACCAGAGCCCAAAAGCAAGGGCCTCCTTAAATTCTGCACCCTTTGTACCTGACTTGCCTCACCTGGGGCTGGCTATCTTGGGACCCCTGTACTGCTCACCCTGGCAGCCTTGCCATGTGGTTCCATGAATCCAGGGCTTGTACAGACAGCTCTTTTAGCAAAATGAGTCCACCAGGAATCAGCTCAATGAGTTAAAGGGTCAAGAACTCTCAGATCTATTGGCAGCATGCTGACTGTGGTTAGTAACTATGTGCTATCTTCTTAAAAATTATTAAGAGAATGGATTTAAGTGTTCTCACCACAAAAAAGTAAATATATGGGGTAATGCATATGTTCATTAACTAAATTCAGCAATTGCATAACGTATACGTATTTTATGAACATGTTTTACCCAATATGCATATTATTTTTGTCACCTAAAATAAACGTTTAACAAAACTCCTCTAAGGTGCTCGTGTTACATGCTTTTCCTCTCTGCCTCCACAGAGTGTACTAAAGAAGAGGGACCAAGTGCAAGCAGAGTACGAAGCCAAACTGGAAGCCGTGGCACTGCGGAAGGAAGACCGGCCCAAGGTCAGGGGGCGTGGCCTCGAGTCTGGTGCTCAGGGAATCCCCCTCAGAGTGCTCCGTGCAGCCAGGCTATGTTGGGGGTGTTGGATTTCCTACTGTTTCCTGGACTTTTTCTTTCTTTCTTTTTTAAAGACTTTGAGCGCTGCCATTCTTTGGTAGTTCCTTGCTCCATAAAGCGGCATTGCAGAGAGGGAACAGCCCAGCTCTGTGCTCTCCAAGTATGGTTCCAGGACTGGTCCACACACTGTTGCCCACCCACGATAAGAAGAGCACAGAGCTAGGAGAAAGCTTTTGGAAACTTCGGGGCAACTTGACGTTACCCCAGGACCCATTCAACACATGTTGCTCAGCATTCTAGATACATGTTGTCAAAGTAGCACGGAGAGGGCCGTGCCGCGGGCGAGTTATGCACAGTAGGGCCACAGCTAGGTCGGGTGGGGGGTAAATACCAGCAAAAGGTAGTCGCTGACCCTCCAGAGCTTGAGCAGCACTGACCTGGCTTGAGGGGGTGGTGGGTGCCCTCGGAGTCTGGTGTTCCGAGTCCAGATGGAAGGTCACAGTTGTAAAATGCCAACTGTTGTTTGGGTCACTCATATTTGTTGCTTTCATTCCCCCCGAGCCAGATTTAAAACCAGAGTACCAGAGGCCAGTGCCCAAGTGCTTTCCATGTACTGAGTACTTTATATATAGACGTAGACATGAGAATATGCCAGAAAGTTCATGGAAAATGTGGATTATGAAAACCTGTACAGAGATTTCAAGTGACTTTGCGCCAACTCCCTCTTTTTCTCCGCCTGTCAAATTTGAGGGGGAGGGGGAGAGGGGAGATAAAGGGAGAGCGCTCCCATTGGCCAGTTTATTCCCCACATGCCTGCAATAGCCAGGATGGGGCCGGGCTGATGGAAGCTGGGAGCCAGAAGTGCAATCCTGGTCTCCATGTGTCAGAAACTCAACCACTTGACTTACCACTGCTGCCACCCAGTGTTTGCCCAGCAGGAAGCTGGAATTAGGAGCCAGAGACAGGAATTGGAATCCAGCCCCCCAGTGTGGGACGTGGATGTCTTCTCCAGTATTTCAACCACCAGGCCGAACACTTGCCCCTGAACTTACCTTTGAGTTCCATTTCCCGTGCATCTGCATGTGTGTGTGCGTGTGCGTTTGTCATCTCGCTGTAGAGCTGGGCTCACACCCCGCAGCTGGACTCTCAAGTCTTGCCCCTTACCTTTATGTTACTGTGCTCCTGTTTTGTTGTAACTGGGAGGTGTATTTGGTTTCAAAGAAAGGGTGGGGCAGTGGGGAAACTGATGAAAAAGATCACAGCGTGACCCAAGTTTCAGGGAAATCGTTGGACTCCAGGACCATTCTTTGTTTCTTTTTCCTTCCTCTGCCTTGGTTCTTGCTGCTGCCACCATGCTGAGACATACTTGGAAAGGAACCAGCTTTGAGGCTTAGAAATGGCACTCCTTGTCTCTCTGAAGTGCTTTTTTATGCGACCTGCAGTGATTGCCACGACAGACAGTCGTTGGCGGCCCAGAGGGAAGGCATTGTTCTTCCCCTCCTCCGAGTCATGGCCCAAGAAATCAGGCTCCAAGTGGCTCCATAAATCGCCCGACCCCTTTGATGCCAAATGGCTCTGGATCAGATGTGCCCTGCGCAGCAGGCCTCATGCTACCCGTGTGTTGTGTTGCTGCACCTGTCGCCATAGTGACATGCACCAGAGCGTGAGGGCTGCATACCTCTATGAAAGGTCAGATGATAACGATCAGGGCTCTCGTCCCTGGCTCAGTCTGTGCTGTGGGGCCCCTCCTCTGCTTCTTCTTGCTGCAGGTTGGTGGCCTTTGTCCATGCTGTGTGCCAAGGAGGAGGCCGTGATGGAAGTGCAGCTGTGTGCGCAGCCACCCTGGGTCTCCAGCTGCCTGTCCAGTCGGTCAGTTTCTCAACTGTCCCTGCGATATTCTGCAGCGTGGTGCCATCTGCAGAGCCCTTGTCTCCGTCTCATTTAAAGGGATGATATGGAAACCATGTTTTAGTATTATTATTATCATTATTTTAAATATTTATTCATTTCTTTTGAAAGAGTTAGAGGGAGAGACAGAGAGTGATCTTCCATTCACTGGTTCACTCCCCAGATGGCCACAACCACAAGGACTGAGCCAAGCTGAAGCTAGGATCCAGGAGCTTCATCTGACATGGGTGCAGTGGCCCAAACACTGGTATCATTTTCCACTGCTTTTCCCAGACCATTAGCAGGGAGCTAGATCAGAAGTGCAGCAGCCAGGACACAATCTGGAGCCCCACGGGATGCTGGTGTTGTGGACAGCGGCTTTACCTGCTATGCCACAATACCAACTCCGTATGTTTATGTTTTTAAATTTTCCTTCTAATACCTTAGCCCCAAGATACGAAGATCAAAGTCACTTCACAAAAAGGCAAACACTATGACTTCACTTACACGTGGAATCTAAAAAGGTTGAACTTACAGAAACAGAGTTGAATGGTGGTTTCCAGGTCTTGGGGCCTGGGAGCATGAGGGAGATGTAGGTCACAGGGGACAAACCTTCCGTTACAAGATGAATACATGCTGGGGATCTAATGCACAGTGTGGGTGGTGAGGGATGTGGTAATTAATTTGTGGTAATCATTACACGGTGTCTCTACTCTTAGACATTACATGCTTTATATGGGTGTGTGTGTGTGTGTGTACTATTTGTCAATTAGATATTTTAAAAAACAAAGCTGAAGTCACTTTTCCTGTCCAGGGAGGGAAGGAGAACCAGCAAGCTCTGCCTCTGGCCTTCAGAACTCTCACTGAAGTAGTTCAGTCCCCACCTGTTGGTGCGCAGTAGGGATACCAGCTTTCTCAGAGGCTGGTGATGTTCTCTGATGTTCATCCTTTCCAAAGCCAGGAGCTGAGGTTAGGGATAACCGGCCCAAGGAATTCCTCACTGGCCAGCACCGCTCCCATTAGTCCTGGAGCAGTGCTCTGCTGCTGGGGCACCCAGCTTTGTGTCCCGGCTGACCGGGGTGACCCTCTGCCGCCAGTGCTTGTTGGAGTGCCTACACTCATCCTCTTGGCCACAAGGGTTCTTACAAGTGGGGAAGGGCTTCTTCCCAGCTCACAGGGTCTACTGGAAGGTCCCACACCCCTCCGCCTCCTCTTAGCACGCTGGGTAGGCTCTTCGGTCTCCTTCCCTCTGGTGGGATTGAGCCAGGCCAAGGCTGATTTGGTTGCTTCCGTAACAACTGTCATGGATGAAGACAAAGCGGGGTCTGTGGTGATGCTGCCCAGGGAGTGTCCTTGAGCAGTGGGTGCAGCAGGAACTGTGCGCCTGTTCTCGGTCTGAGGCAGCAGCTCCCAGGGTGGGCAGAGGAGACCCTCCCCCAGGGATGCGGATGCACTTAGTTTTCTGGGTTTGTTGCCGCTCATGTTTTAAAAAAAAATCTCTGCTTTTTTCTGGCCGCGTTGTTTCAGGCGTCTCCCTGTGTCCTTGCGCTCCCCCTCCAGCAACCCCCACGTCTGTTGGAGCACCCTGCCCCCCCCCACCTGTGCTCAGCAGGTGGCTGGGCATCAGCGCATCAGCTCCAGCTTTGCTGTGTTCACAGCTGGGGGCTGCAGGTGGAGAGGCCAGTGCCAGGGTATGAGGAGGTGGCTCAGGGCCCACCCCACCCCCAGAGCCCCACCGGAGGGCCTTTGTGTGTTAACACACCTGCTGGGGGCTGGGAGCTTACCTTGTTTGGGAGGGACAGTTTGAAAACATTTCCCCCAAAGAGTGAGGAGGGGAAATTGGTTTTTGTGAAACCATGGAATGGGGTGCAGATCTGATCCCTTTTCTCTCCCCCAAGGAAGGAAGTGGCTCACCAGCCCCATGACCCTCCCTGTGATTCTGAAACTGGGGCCCAGGGAAAAGCAGCGAGTTCCTGCAGCTAGGGGACGGTGTGTGTGTGTGTGTGTGTGTGTATGTGTCTAGGGTACATTGTGTGTGTGTGTGTGTGTGTCTAGGGCACAGTGTGTGGGGGGCTAGGGGATGGAGTGTGTGTGTGTGTGTGTGTGTGTGTGTCTAGAGGCTGGGTGTGTGTAGCTAAGGGACCAGTGTGTGTGTGTGTGTGTGTGTGTGTCTAGGGGATGGGGTGTGTGTGTGTGTATGTGTGTCTAGGGGACGGTGTGTGTGTGTCTAGGGCACAGTGTGTGGGGGAGGGCTAGGGGATAGAGTGTGTGTGTGTGTGTGTGTGTGACTAGGGGATGGTGTGTGTGTGTGTGTATGTGTCTAGGGCACAGTGTGTGTGTGGGGGGCTAGGGGATAGAGTGTGTGAGTGTGTGTGTGTGTGATGACGCTGCGGAGCCGAGGGGAAATGTTCTCCTGCAGAATTTAAAGTTGTGCTTTGGTTTTGAGCTTGAGAAAACGCCGCAGACCCAGAGGTGGTTTATTCTCTGAGCTGTGGGTTGTGTCGCCTGGCTCGTTCCCATTCTAGTTCTGAGGTTGGAGAAATTATAGCACTTAGGAAGGAGCTGGCTGCCTTCCTTTAGACCTTTGTCACTCGTTCAAAAAGAAGTAATGGATGCCAGGAGGACTGCCTTTTAAATTCTTGAAATTTTTAAATTCTTAAAAAAAAATAAGGAGCTGTGTTAGGCCCTGAGCCACAGGTGGCCTTGTCCCAGGTGTGGCGCCAGGTGCAAAGGCTGCTGGGAGTGGGTGATGTGGACGTGGAGGGGGAGGTGCTCCCTGGGCAGGAGCCTGCGTGCTATTGGGAGGACCCAGGTATTGCCTGGAGGTGAACAGGAGCAGCAAACAGGATGTGCTGAGCTGCTCCGGTTGAGCAGAAGCGGGGGGAGGGAAATAGAAACCAGGCTCACCTGGACAATCTTCTTCAAGGCCATGGACTTGGAAAAGCCCCGAGAACCAGCAGAATGGTTAGCGTTCCGGAATGGGGGAGACGGGGCGGACAGCGAGCGGTGTGGTTCTGCAGTGGCTGCAGGGAGGCTTGCTCATGTGAGCTCAGCGAGT